AAAGATCTTCATTATTTATATTTTTATCGAATCATGGCACGCATTTTCATATATACATAATATATGTTTTGATTTCGGATTGGGTTGGGTCACGTAAGAATATATGTCTATATATATAAAATATATGGTTTTTAATTGGGAGAGTTTTCTATAATTATCTTTAAAAGCATTTGATTAAATTTCCATGAAATTTTTCCTATAGTCATTTTATCTGAATTTCTTGGAAATAGAAATTTACCATCGCATGGTAATTTCAACAGTGATCAAAAAACGTAAATTTTACAAAATAAAATATTTTGAAAGTTATAGATTTTTATATAGAATATCAGTAATTTCGATCGAAAATTCATCCAATGAACTTTTCTATGAAATATTTGGTTATCTTGATGGTTGTCAAATATATTACCTGTTTTCATATCTTGAAGTTTGATAAATTTGAAATATTTATTAGTAAAATCGGTTTCAAATTAAAATTTTTATCGTTTACGACTCAATTCAAAAGTATCGTTTATCTTGATGGTAAACTATGGGAACGATTTATTTTAAATTATTGTCCTCAGTTAAAATAATTATAAAAGTTTTGTTTATGCAAAGAAATCTACAATATAGCCTGGAAAATCGCATGAATTCATATTATCATTTTAACTTGAACGACAATGAATATTTCAAGCTAATACTTCCATGGAAGATATTAGCTATACAGTTCGCCCGTATAGATACTTTGAAAAAAGATTTTCATATTGAGTACTTTTTCTCTTCTGTATAGAGAACAATAGTATGAATATGATACACAACATAATAGTGTAAATTCTTCTATTTATCTTTCTAAATCTAGTCGAGTGACTATTATATATATATTACTCATGATAATTTTGTAATTATGAATATTAAGCATGTTATAATTCTAGCTTAGATTTATTATTTAGAAATTTTCGATGAAAAAATCTGTATTAATATATTGATTTAGATAACAAATTCATTATCAGAACTTAAATCATTAAAAATTCATTCTTTATTATTATGTCAATCAGAGAATTTACAAGTAAAATTACCAAAGTTTATCTTGAGAAGATGAAGAAAATTCGAGAAATTTACTTTCTTATGGCTCTGTATCTTTATGTTATATCTTTAATCATAAAATTAAACATGTACTCGATAACATCTATTTTAAATGGAAATGATTCGAATGAATATTTTGTAAATAACATAAAAACCTTATTGAAATTCTTTTTAATAATGTTTATTAATAAAATCCAGTGTGTTATATACAGAGTAAGGATTGTTTACTGTCAATGATTCATCGCAGATATTCTGTATATATAGAGAAGAAGAAAAAAAAAGAATACGTTGTCGTCATTTCGTCAAATAACCAAGATGTACATGTGCTTTATTCTTTCGCCTAGATTATTTGTTTTAGATCGATTTATTTCATATTTTATTATCTGGATTTAATCAAGAAACGTAAGTCACAAAGGAGAAAAAGAAAAAGTTTTATTAATATTAGATTTTTATCTAGTATGTCGATAAATTCCATCGAAAATTTCTCTAATGAATTTTTCTATGAAATTTTCGATTATCTTGATGCTTGTGAAATTTATTATGCTTTTTCAAATCTTAATTATCGTTTTCAACAATTAATTAATTCTTCATCACTTCTATTAAAATTAACATTTAATTATTCACAATTACAAGAAATATTTATGAATAATTATCAACAAATTTTACATTTTAATAAAAATCAAATATTTTCAATTCATTTATGGATATCAGAAAATACTAATCAAATTATTTCATCATTTACCATTGATTCATCATTTAATTGTCTTGAATCTCTTATTTTTGATTCAATTGAACCAGATATATTAATTTCACTTCTTCCAAAATTAATTTGTTTACCTCGTCTTTTCTCATTAATAATTGATACATGTTCTATAGAAAAAGATCTAGGAGATATCTATCGATTAATTTTCAATCTACCAAAATTAAAATATATCAAATATACAGCAATAGAATCTAATGATTTTGATATAAAGATCTCATTACCAATTGCTACTAATGAACAAATAAGTTCTATTGAACATCTTATTATGGATCATCCTTGTGCTTTGGACGAACTTTTTGTTATAATATCTTATACGCCTCATCTTCGTCATTTAAAATTTTTAAGTCTTACCGATCGAAATGTAAATATTAAAAATATTAAACCAATAAAATTACCAAATTTAACACATCTTTCTATTCATATATATAGAAAAATGTCATTTAATGTACTTGATACATTCATTAGTAAATTAAATTCGAAAATAAAAATTTTATCATTGACAACATTAGTTGAAGATATTACTTATCTTGATGCTAATCGATGGGAAAAATTTATTTTAACAAAATTACCTCAATTAGAAAAATTCTATTTTAAATATAGTGCATATTTTGAAGAAAATTATGAAACTCCAATGTATTTTGGACAATGTGATCAATTTATTTCATCATTTTGGCTTCAACGACAATGGATATTAGAAACTGAAATTGAATTTGAAAATATTATTTATTCAATTAGTCCATACAAGTATATCAAAGAAAAGTTTTTGTTTTTTTTAGTTTGAATAATTTTTTTTGTTTTAGAAAAAGATGGTATGAATATGATACACAACATAATATGATTAATTCTTCTGATCAATTATCTAAATCTATTCGACTTAGTCTAGATGAAGTACGTCCTGAACAATGGACGAAGACAATATTCATAGATGATTATATTAATCATATTTTAACTGTAACACAAATTTATCATTTAGAAATTCATGTTAAAATTTTTACTGATAAATTAATGGAAATTTTACATTTATTATCTGAAATTAAAACATTAAAAATTTATTCTTTACCAATTTTACAACAAGGAGATTTATCCGAAGAAGAAATTGAATTTCTTTGTGTTCTATTACCTAAAAATCAAATTACAAAAATTTGTTTTCAACATATGAAAGATATGGATGAACTTTATATGTTAACTTTAATTTGTTCACGTATTAATCATCTTCAAATCAAATGTATTGATTATATGCATGCTGAATTATTAACAGGACTTATTTTAACACAAATTAAGGGCATATCTAAATCTTCACTTCGATTATTATGTTTTTCTATACCAGAAGCACATGATGAAATGTGCGAAAAATTAGAAAAAATGATTGATGTTGAAAATTTACATTTTGATTTTATGATTAAACATGTTATGGATAAAATTTATTTACAATGGAAATGATTATATATTGTTTATTGTATTTACTTTTGTATGAAATTGTTTAATAAAAACTTTTATAACTTTACACTTAAACGTTCTTTAATAGATTTGATTCTTTCTGTTAAATCAGATATTTGTATTCGTTTTTTTCGTATGTCGATAAGTTGGATTAAAAATTTATCGAATGAATTTTTCTATGAGGTATTTGAATATCTTGATGATTGTAAAATATTTACAACAACTAATGAACTACATACAAATATTTTACTTAATCTCCTGACTGTGATATTTTTTTTAATTTGCATAGTGAACTTTTTGTAAAATAACTTTTGATGCACGGAAACATTAGAATCGGTTGAGTGAGCTTCATTATATAGGGTGTCCGGAAAGTCCTTAGAGTTAGGAAAATTTTCATATCTCCTTTACGGCTCGACCAAACGTGCTCATTTTTTTAACAAAGATTGAGGCACGTTCACACTCCAAATCCATATGGACAAGAGTATCGAGAATCTTTGTTAAGTATCACTATTGACCTTAACAAGAAAATTTTACTGTTCCACAGAGAGGAAGAAAAACCATATACTTAACAAAGGTTCTCACTAACTTTGTCAGTATGGATTTGGAATGTGGATATGCCTCTATCCTGGGTAAAAATATCAGTTGGTTCGCTCAAGCCACAATGAAGAGAGTCAATTGTCTTTTCAATAAAGTGTCTTTTGCCCTATCATGTGTAATGTTTGTTTTCCTAACTGTGAAACAGTAAAATTTTCTTGTTGAGGTCAATAGTGATACTTAACAAAGATTCTCAATACCCTTGTCCATATGAATTTGGAGTGTGAACATGCCTCAATCTTTGTTAGAAAAATGAGCTCGTTTAGTCCAACCATAATGGAGATAGCCAAATTTTTGTAACTCTAAGGACTTTCCGGACACCCTATATGTAGAGCTTTCGAGTCAATACAGAATACATAATGAAAGTAAGATTAAGTAATTGAAGTAACTGTAGTATTGATTTTTTTCATAAAGATTGTTTTGTCGTATATATGTATATATCAATAACAGTTAAAAGATTAATAATAAACATCAAATAGTTTTATTTCATATATTGTTACCATCAGAGAAAAATGAATTTATCTCATCATTTGATCGTCTTGAATCACTTGTTATTATTGAAATTCTACCAAATATAACTTACTTATTTCACTACTAACTAATTGATCTTCTTTACCTCGTTTTATTTTCTCATTAACAATCGATATGGAATAAACTCCCTCTCATAATAGAAGTCCCCGGAGATTTCTATTAAGTCCCAAAGTTTTTCAATAGTTTTAGATGTAAAAAAAAATTTCAAAGATTTTTAGGGTTTTCTAGAATTTTTCAGGAGATTTCGAGATTTTTACGCTGGTACATAAGGATATTAAATAAATTCTTATCTTAAGATCTTGAATTTCGATGATTTTCCGATGAAAATGCCAATAAAATTTTTCAAAAAGTTTGTAAAATAAGAAGGTTCTATTATGAGAGGGGATTTAGGCGTTAAGTGGCGTAAGTGAAATTTATCGATTAATTTTTGCTTTACCTAAGTTGAAATATAATAAATATTCAGCAGAAGGATTCTTCACATCTGTCCCATTGGCAATTGCTACCGATGAACAATTCAATACTATTGAATATATTGCTATTAATCATAATTGTACTTTAATATCTTATACATCTGAACTTGAGGGTGTGGATATCATTCTTTTCCTCACACCATAACATCTATTCGAACTGGCGTATCATGTTCGATATTGAAATGCATTACAATTTCTGTTGCCATCGATCGTAATTTATTCATTCTGTGTGAACATTTCCTTTTTCTTAAATATTTTGTTTTCTAGAGTATTGAATGGAATTTATTTTAGTAAACGGTACAAACTCTGAAAAATCGAGGCTAGAAAAGAGAAGAGAAGAAAAATATTACATTCTTTTGTGTTAATACACTCATTTCTTAAAATTCTATAAAACTATATGTCTGAATAATTCAGGCATCAAATTTTGTATTGTAGGCATTGGAACGCCGTCTACTTCATGTCGACATAGTGGACATTTATTTTTTGATCGTAATGAGCTGAGCATGCATTGATAATGAAATATATGTTTCTTTTTGCCAGGACATGGCCATGGTGCATATTGCTCGTTTAATTTTAAATATTCCAAACAGACAATACATTGAATTTGTTCATTCGCCATTTTCGTATCTACTATAATCTTGTTTTGTTCATGTTTCATTCGAAACTCGGCAATGAATCTTGCCGAAGCTGGAGAATCACGTTCATATATACGTTGACCTATTGATTGTCGTTCAAGTTTGAGAGTCTGAAAATTTTCTTCTTCATGAATCAATCGTGCCATGTAACTTGAGTGTACGATTGATCTATTTGATACGTCTCGATGTTGATGAATACTCAAGCGATGTCGATTTCGAAATGTCACACACTGTTGCTGGCCGAATCGTTCATTTTGAAGACGTTGTTGATATCTTTAAATATAAATTGTATCAAATGTCAGAAGTAATTGAAAGTGATAAGTTTGACATTTTCCATGTGACAAGAATGGGCACAACGCCTGCTCGACAATGATGATCTAGTTTTTAAGACAAACTTAGCACTGAAGAACCTTTCTACTAATGTCCGTTCAAAAAGTCCGTGCGTGTGACTATGTTTTGAATAATTTTTGATAGGAACAAGATACAGACCTGCGATTTTCGGCGTTCGACAGCCAAGGCGAAGAGGCATCTTTTCACTACGAAAAACTTTTCTGAGGAACAATTTCGAAGCCAGTTTATCGCAGGATCTTTGAAAAGTTATATTGTATCTCTCAAAATTTGCATGGAAACCTATTGATTTTTTTACATATTTGGAATCTCCACTAAAAACTGAGTCAACTCATATATGTTTCGAATCGTTTTGCGACACTTTTTTTCATCGAAAACCTCTGTCCTAGGAACCCGTCTATAAATAAAGTTAGCCAAAAGATCACTTGGACAATGGAAAGCAACTTCAGAAGTTCTAAAATACTACTATAACACAAAATGGCGCAAGATTAAACGATAGAAACGGCGTTTTGACGAATTTTATTTATTGATGGGACTGTAGGGCAGAGGTTTTCGATGAAAAAAAAGTGTCGCAAAACGATTCGAAACATATATGAGTTGACTCAGTTTTTAGTGCAGATTCCTAATATGTAAAAAAATCAATATGTTTCCATGCAATTTTTGAGAGATACAATATAACTTTTCAAAGATCCTGTGATAAACCGACTTCGAAATTGTTCCTCAGAAAAGTTTTTCGTAGTGAAAAGATGCCTCTTCGCCTTGGTAGTCGAACGTCGAAAACCGCAGGTCTGTATCTTATTCCTATCAAAAATTATTCAAAACATAGTCACACGCACGGACTTTTTGGACGGACATTAGTACCTAGTGCAAAGTCTTATACTTGAATCTTTCCTCTGATATTTAATTTTCTTTCATATTTCATTTAGTCAATGGTTTCATCACAGCGCTCGTGTACAATAAAATACCTTATTTGCTTACCGTTGTCTATAACCTGAACTTATTTCCATGAGTTCTTGATGTAACCACTCAGCAAAATTTTGTTCACCTGTCATGGTTATTGGCCATGGAATCTTGGAAAGATCTTTACCATACAAAATACCTTCATCGTGTCTAATTATTCGTATATCACTTTCAGGACAAATAATAAATGGTGATGATTCATAGTGGATTGTAGAACATTTCTGTAAGTCTACTTGAAATAAAACAACAAACAGATGGTTTTGATCATTTTCAATGATGAGTAATTGATTGTTAAATCTATGTTCACATTGTCGTACAAATTCATCAAATTTTAATAATTGTTCATGAGATGATCCGTCCAAATTCAATAGCCAGAGCTCTTCCTGAACATTTTTAGATAGTTTCAAAGATATTTTTGTTAATCCATATTTGTGCAAAATTTTGCAACAAATGATATTTCTCAAATAGAGAATAATATAGAATAGTGTTTTTAATAATAACCATAAGGCAATTAAACCACATATGAGAAATTTATAAAATGGATAATACGGTTGTGTGATATTTAGAGCAATATCAAATGAATAAAATTGATGTTGTTTACCTTGAATAAAAGCCTTTTCATTTCTTGGTCGATATAGATATCCAATCAAGATACCACATTTCGTTAATATTGCTCTATTAAATTGAGTTGAATTCTTATCATACTGCTTCTTTATGTATTTGACATAATCAATCTTTTCAACCCATGATCTATGTGTCATTTCTGAGTCCGATGGTAAATTTTTTACAATACATTTAAGTGTTCGAATTGAATATAAATGAAACCGAAATGGAAATTGCGCATGAAAATATTCTTGAGTAGACGTTGGTAATTTAACATATATGTCTGGATATTGAACTTTTTTGTATGTTGCAATTGAATATTGACGTGTGACTGGATCAGAATATTGTCGAATAATATCATATGTATTGAATGATTGTTGAATATTATTTTCATTTAATTCAACTTGAATATATTCAATTTTCCAGAATCGAGATGATGATTGTTGACTTTTAAAATTGTTAACATGTTGAATAAATTGTTCTAAATTGAGATGAAATGGACCAAATATTGAATTAAAAACTTGAATATGTAACTGAAAGAAAATTGTACCAATCAATGTACTTATTAAAAGTAAAATAAATGAATAGATGATATGGCGAAAATATGATGGTTGTTTTAAAAGACAATGTTCAATATGCAAACGATCCATTAAATGAGTTATCGGATAAAGAGAAGGCGGATATAATCGTCGATTTTTTATTGTATGCAAATAGAACGTTGTTTCTCTCATTTTTGTTGCCGCTTTTTCGCCTCAATGTATCTAAAGGAACGAATTTCAAAGTTCATTATCAATCAAGTTGACATAAAATTACAAAAGATTCTTCTTTTCTTTTACAATATCTGAAGTATTTCAATAAGAAAATCTTCAACTGAATAGTACCAGAATTACGTTCGACTTAACTGTGACAAAAAGAATGAGTAGGATGATCATATTCATTCCAGAAAGAAGACTATGCTCAGTACGAAAGTCAGCAAAAAAAAAACAGTGTGTGGCAATCGAAAAAATTCTTGTGGGAAAAAACCAACATAATAAAAAACAATAACTGTGTTGTTGTTTTCTTGTCTGCAAAAAGAACTCCATCACATCATAAGTATTTTTTTATTTGTCCTCAGCAAAGATTTCACATTTTTTATAGTTTCTGATGTAATTCATCAAACAAAAATGAATCACAATATTTGATTTTCGATTTACTACCATCTGAATGAAAACAGAACATTTAAATAGAGGCATGTGAGAGAGCTAGAGGACGCCATTATTGCATTTCTTTTGAATTGCATTTTTAAGAAAAATCAAATTTCCAGTTCCATTGGTTCTTAAAACTAGTAGTGATCGCAAAGCATTTTAAACAAAAGCTACTCGAACTTGTTGTCCTATATCTATTGATAGTGACGCTTTTCTTAACGATAAGAGTATCATCGTTCCATGATAATAATTAGAAGAAAGACAAATTTATTGATGCCGAATCCGTACTTATCGATGAACAATTAGAAACAGATGAGACCAGTTGTGAACCACATTATTGGCCATGTAATAATCAATATTAGTCTTACTATCATGAATGTATATCACTGATAACCTATGATATCATTTGTTTGCCTACAGATAAAGCTGGTGATGGTGTATAGACGATTGTCTTGGAACAACTGACGAACGTGTCTATTGTCGACAAAAATTAAAGCCATTTAGTCAGAATCTCTATCAATGCTAATCGCGGATGTTTGCCTTAACTCTTTGAGTACCAGATTATTTTTAAGTAATAAAAATTTTTAAAATTTTAAATCAACTTTTATTTTTGTACAAACGCAACAACCAGTTAATCATCAGTAAGTGTAGCTGATCTTAACCGCACAAATATTCACACATTCATATCCTTCAATAATCAACAGGTCATGTTTTCAAGATCTATTCAGAGTTCGAAATCTTAGAACGAGAATTCTCGTCGATTGTATTCAAAGTATTAACAACAAACTATGTGCTTCTAAAAACCAAGGAGACGATTGCTACGATGAAAATAGGAATATAATATCCGTTCTAACAGATCTCAGTTGCGACCAGAAATTGATCTTTCATACAGGACCAAAATATTTCAGGCTTCAAAATTCGAACAATAGTTTTCCTGCTTATCTAGCTGGTAGAGAAAGTTCACCGACAACAATACTACCTATAAAATTGACTGAAATCGGCAGCATATGATTAAACCAGGATTGATATTGCAATCGAAGTATTCTGATTCGAAGGGGCGCCACTAAGAAAATAATACGATATTTTTGTGCACCTAGATGCTATGGTGATCAGTGTAGATTTCAAAATGAACCTGTTAGTTTGACACTGCAATTTCGAACGTTATGCGCAGCAAATTGTCGTAGAGTATTCGGTACCGTCATAACTTTTGTTGAAGAAAATAAATAAGAAGTTATTCATTCTTAGAAACAGTTAACCTACAACCCTACACAAGATTGCGATACTAAATTCATTATTTATCTTTGTTATCGAACACAACCGAAGAATTGTGAAGACTTATCAAAAGTCAATTGGATATCAATTATGAATGTAAAAGTCATGTAGCGTAATAAATCACTCAGGAACATAGTTTTTATACAGCGGAAAATGTCAAAAACCTGTGAGCATCGAGAAGTGCGAGTCGTTTGCAGATAAAAAAATATTGCTAAATATTTTTTTTTAAATTACAATAAACTGCCATGTCATATAAGGACAAGTACTCCCTTACACTCAACAAAGTCTAATATGCAAAAACAAATAAAATCTCTACTTCCATATCAACATTTATGAGGGTGTGTGGGTGTGGGTTCTGCTAAACAGAGGATCCATACCCATATCCACATCCACATCCACACTCACCCTTGAACAAGAAACAATCGTTTCGATTGACAAATCTACTATTCTGGTATTAATAGGACGTGCGATAGAAATTTCTTGCCATCGTTATTACTGCTAAATTATTGATTAAAAATCGTATGACTTTAATTGATTTTTAATCGATTTTTTATATCAATTTTTTTACATGGGTCTTCGTCAAAATAACAGTACTGTCGTTGTGTTCTCCTTTAAAGACTGGACTTAGTTGCAAATCAAGTCTCGAGATACATTTCTCGGAAGCTGATGTTTGTTAACGTACGAATCACTAACTCAATCTTTTAATCATTGTATTGCTGCTTAGGATTAAGTCGAAATTCATCAAGATTTTCGTCAAGGCTAAAAATAATTTTCTGCATTTTTGTCACACGTAGTAGCTCTGTTTCGCACCGTTTTTAAAGTCATTGACCCCTTAAAATAAATATTTATTGATCTACTTCAGTTTTAAACGTCACAATAACTTCTCGTATTTTTCACTATTTCATGTGTGCAACTATCATCGAAACACCAATCACATGGCGAAGCACCTATATACATATTCTTATCATTACTGTTTTTTTGTCCCGTCTTTCATCAAATCAAGGATTCGGTTCGATAGTTTCCATTACGGCAAGTACAA